ATCCTTTCACTCAGGCCTCACTTGTTCTTTTTTTTTTTTTCTTTTTTTTGTCGGCTCTTACTTTGCTGATAGAGATGTAGAGAACCTCAATCCACTTGCTGAGAAAACCTCTGTTTGCACCCCTTTAGATACAATTATTTCTCTGTAAACTCTAGCTATATGTAGCTTCAAGTCAGCCTACAAAAACAACCCACTTGCATGAATCACATACACTGCTGCTTCTTGAAGAACACTTTAAAGAGTGTCTTTTCTTTTTGAAGTTATATACTCACAAACCCAACTCTTCCACCTTGTACAGAAGAGGATAAAACGCAGTGTTTTCATTTGCAATGTGGATATATTGGATTCTACAGTAAGTCTCATAGGTAACTCTTGCTTCCTTTGCTTATCCTTATTTAATTTTGATGTTATGCATTCCTTTCAGCCATCCCTTTACACCAGAAGAGACCCCACAGCCCCTTCCTTATGCATTTGGGCAACTCAGGGCTAAAAGATAAATTCAGTAATAAAGATGGCAATCCCAAAGTGCACATACACAAACAGTATTATTAATACAATATAAAATATAATTACAGTACATATTTTTCCTGAATCTACACTTTATGCAGGTTTACTGTACTGTGACAATCAATGTCAAGAAGACAAACAAAAAATCATGAACATTAATTTTCCATGTTTGGTCAAATCTTTATTCCCGTGTTTAGATTTACAACATTTTACCAAATAATGCACCAAAGTGAATGATGCTTTAGGAATATTTTTACCATGGTCCTCAAGGGAGCTGCATCTCATAACAGAAAGATAAACAGCACACAGTTTTTAATGTGAATGACAATGTTTACTGTGGATGAAATCTTTATTTGTAGTACATTTAAAAATAAGTAAAATAATTTTTTTTTAAATGTAGAAACTGACACGCAATCGATGTAATGCCTTAAAAACAGGTGCAATGTGCCCTCAGGCAGCAGGCACTGTGTCAGTGTACTTTAATTAGTTCATTAGAAGTCTTTGTACCCAGGTAATTAATGAATTATGGCTCTTAAACAAAACCAAATAGTGACAATTTATTAAGATTTATTGTGTAAGCAGTTTCTTGCTCGTATGTTTTAATACATGTATTTTTTGAGACTGAAATAAGCCAATAAAATACTGCATTACTGCTGCAATGACCCCGTGAGGAAGCTGCAAACACAGCGTGGTGAAATAGACTAAGAAATGGCAGAACTGTGCTTACTGTGGTTAAGTGGTGGTTTGTGGAATGTGCTGAGACTTTTCCAGTACGCTAAGATTAGTGCTGAGCATTTAGGATTATGAGTGTCAAGTCAATAAGAAGTGGAGGTCTGAAGGCCTCAGCAGCTGATTTCACTTACAGTTTGTTTTTGATGAGTACTGGTGGCATTTTTGAAAAACATGTTTGACTGAAAAGATGCTGATCATACAGGGAGGTATAGGCTTGACTGACTTATGTGTTGGTCAGTCACACAAATGTCCTCAAGTGCACTTCAAACAGTAAGGCTCACTAAAGAAAATCCATATTGCTTAGTTGTCAGTGGGCTGTCAGTTAATCACTGAGAAAAGGTCACAATGTTCAAGTGGATTTACTGCATAATATGCTTACTCATCATCTTCGTGAAGGCTAAAGAGAAACATTTCATTTCTTTAGGGTGCTACAGTACATTACACTGAACCTACTCATTTAAAAATGCATTTGCAATTTATTGCATTCAAGAACCAAAATTAGAAATTGGCGTATTCCGGTGACTCACTGGGCTAATGAATATACAGTGGCACGGTGTGAAATCCACCACTTTCGTCTTTTGCTGACTCTTCTCATTCTATATCTTTCTCTCTCTCTTGTTACAACAATCTAGTGGAGGCAAAATGCCAAAATGGAGCAGGATGTCAGAGTGGAGTGGTATACACATGTAAAAATGCAAAAGTAGCCTTTTGAGTGTCGATCCACAGAGACATTAGTGAGCTGCGAGTGTTTTCTGTGTGGCTGTGCGCCGAGCAGCTAACACACATAGGCTTACAGTACCTGTGTTTGAATGTCAATACTATTAATTTATATCAACCATTTGGCCTGTCACAAGGCTTTTACTGAAGCTAAAAATCACAAACACATTTACACTTTAATCAATATCATAAAAATATGGTGCACCAATGAGTGTTTCTTTTCTCCTGAGACTTGGGTGCCAAATACGTTAATACAACTTGAATGTAATTTATGGGTTGAGAGGCGCCACTACAGCACTTGAACTATTATACATCAATCAAATGAGTGAAAAGTCTGGGGAAAATAACATTTTCAGCAATGCTTATAATGAGATGCCCTGTGCAGCAACTGATATTGTGTACTAAAAAGGTCTGCTAATGTCTGTAGTGATGAGGGCCTATCCAGGCAATGTGTGTACAGTGTTTTTTTTTAATGATGCAACATAGTAAGCTATTTGAGGGAGTTCAAACAGAAATGCAAACAGGGAGCAAAACTATTAAGAAAGGTATCTCAGAGTATGTCATGGAAGGCCTCCAGGAAACAAGTGTTTGGTCAAAGAATTTTTTTTTTTTTACATTACATATGGTTTTAAGGTAACGTGCCCTATTGGCATCAACGTAAGTGTACTAACTGGACATATTGCTCTTGAAAGTATGTGCACACCTAAGGATAATGATAACCACTTTATTTGGCCAAGTATGTTATACTCACAAGGAAATTGTCTGCGGTAGAGAACTGAGACAGCCATCTGCGGTACCAACTCACACACCGATGGTGGCGCTGTCCCTGCAGGGCACCACTTGGGCTTCAGTGTCTTACCCAAGCACACTTCGACACATAGATGCCGCGAATCGAATCTCCAACAACCAACAACCACTGAGCCACAAACGCCCATAAATGAACTCCTCCCCATATGGGAATCAAACCCTGTTATTCCACATGTCAGGCAGAGATACCACCCACTATACTAAAGAGGAGACCCCACACATACTGCAATTACCACAATTTAATTTAACAATATACCGTTGTTTGCAAAACCTTTTGGGTAGCACAAGGGTTTATGTAAATGTTTGTCATTCAAGATGATGTGAGTGTTACTTGTAGGAGTCAGTAGATGACTGAAAATGCTCCATCTGAGGCTGTTCACTCCCCCTTATACCATCGTTAGGGAAAAGTTTCTGTTCATGCTACATTTTCTTTGTTTTCATAGACTGTCATCAGTGCGAGCTTCTGTAAGATAGGAAATGCAGTTGTGGAAAGTAACTCAAAAGCGCCCAGTGGAGTTTTCTTACAGACAAACAGCAGTTCTGTTTATATTCAGTGTTACACCCTAAAACACATATGTATCCTTGAGGTCTAATAAACATGGTGAATGCATTTCCGTCCTCATAAAACATCCATGAGGCTGAGTTTTTAGAATATTTTAAATCCTGCATTGTTTATGTCTATGTTTACTTGTAATAAGTCTTCTCTGTTGGATTACTGCATATCTTGGTATATTAGTGCCACCAGTTGATCACTGTAAACCCTTTTGTCAGAACTGCATATCCTTTTATGCTTGAGATACACAAAACATGGACATAGTCACAGAAAAACAGCTCCATAATGTAACTACAGGTCAAAATCTCCAGAGAACCTTTCTGATCAACTCCTACTCTTAATCTTTGAGATATCTGAAGTTTACTTGAGCATTTCCCTTTTACTCCTACTCCACTACATTTCAAAAGGCAAATGTACTTTTCACCTCCCCACATTTACTGTGTGTGGCAGCAGTAGGTACTGATTACTTTTCAGATTTTATAAACAAAAATGAGTTTACATGCTGTAAAATGTAATACATTTTAATGATTTGTTATTTTAAAAAATGGTAGCCTGGTCAGTGAAAGCACTATACATCTCTCTGTTCCTGCTTATAGGTTATACTGCAGCTCTAGACTCTTCCCACTATACAAAATGAACCTGCAACTTGCAGTAGTGTTACTCAGTGACTAGGCATTTGTGAAAAAGGTGTCTGTGCCGAGCTGGCCCCATTCCACAGTATGGTTAATGTGGTGCAGCACAGCCCTGAGCTCCCATATCATGTGACTCTCTTCCTTCTTCATATTCCATTCTTAATGTGTCTGTTTCTGAACTTTGCAGGCTGAGAGGTAATAAATATTAACATGAATGCATAATGGAGTGAATGCCAAAGCAGTTTGAATCCCTCAAAATGCTGGTGAGTATTCTTTGACATTATGAAATATTTTGCTGGTTCTTTTTTTTCCCCTTAAATTTTGCAGTCTGTCTGCTTTTTATAGGTGAAATCACTGAACTGCTATCAACAAATCTAGCCAAAAATCTGATAACTAAGACACAGAATCTGACAATACAATATCACAACATGATATTTCATGTTACGGGCTCAATTTGTATTGCATTAGCGCAGCATGAAAGAATATTTTTGTTGTTTTAGTTGATGTTTTTTCTGCAGGGTACTCTATTTTGAGTGAGGCCAGTGGTGAAACCAATGGGATGGTGGCAGCATAGGGAGCTTGTTAAAGGAGCAGCAATACAGGCTTTCATTTAGAATGAATATGCAGATGACCGGAGGCATTCTGCGTAAAGATCCACAGGCACCATGCCAGGCCTACACCAAATGCACTCACCTGATCTGGCATGGTGGTGCGGGAATGAAATGATGTCCATGGACACAGCAAGGGCCCTTTTACGCAGCACAGGGTTATTTTTACTGAAAGCAGTTTGAGAAGATGACCAAAACAGTGAGTGGGTAGGCTATGATCAACACAAGTCTAAAATAGCATTTGGTTATTGTAATGTCTGAAACTGAACAGTGGCCTCAAAAAGGATTTGTGGCTTACACTAAATATCTGACATAATTCACTGTGCCTTGTATTAAACAATAAAGATATTAAAAAAAATGGAGATTTTTCATTTTAAAACCTTTGTAATATTGGATTTTAGAGGAAAACCTATTAACAATTAAAAAAAAAATTTCTGTGCTTCATAATTTACATTCATTCAGTTTTTATTGATGACTCAAGCAAAAGCAGTTCCTCACCATTACAGATCATTAGAGTTGTACAGTATGTTCACGCCTGACCCACATCAAGGCCTTGATTCGAGTACGGTCAAACTTCAATACCAAAGCACTGGAACCTGAGGACGTTGATTTGCCAGCTGCTCACTAATGAGTTGTCCCACAGTGCTTTGCAGCATGTCTCCAGGTGCTTCCGGATCACAGGCAATTCATTCTCCTTCAATCTGCCATACCATCAAATGTCATCAAATTTGAAGCAGGCCAGCATGAAAGGCAAATGATTACAATCTGCCCTCCTGATTGAACTCCACTGACCTTTCTGCAAAAATATCTCTTTAAAAAGAATGTCAGAATATTCCTTTTTCTTCCATTGGGAGGGCTGAAGGGTCCAGTCCACACTGCTTCATCTTAAAGGCGATGTCAAACAGGTAGTCGTAGCATTCACACCTAGAAAATACAGCAGAATTTTAAGTGTTGGAGGACAAAAATACAATGTAAAGAATTGAAATACATTTTCTTTGCTACACATCCACAACGTAAATATACTAATATATTTTTAGTCCTAAACAAGGTCACAGAGGTGAATAATGCTGGGAGGTAAATACTCACATGCCCTTGGCCTTTTCCCATGACTCGCCCCAGACATAAAGACCATGTCGGCGGACGAGGACTGCACATGAATCTGGGTATTCCTCCATAGCCCAAGCCATTCTGTCTCTCAAGTCCTCCTCCTCTGGTGTATTTTCAATAATGGGTACAACCAGGGTTTCATCATACCTGTGTTATTCAGGGTACAAAAAGATAAGACAGTCTGTTACGCCCAGACAGATAACTATTAAGAGGCATTAACCTCTGCCATCACAGGACCAAGAGATACAGTGTTAACTCCTAAGGAATATATCGGCCTTTTTAGCTGCTAAATGCTCCACAATGTTCACGGGCTAGCTGCTACCTGTGTCTGTCTGCTGCTGGGTGCTGCACAGGTAGAGTGATTAGTGAGTTTTATTGCTGAAAACAGCTGCCTGAAATGGCACTGAGAGCAGTGAGAGTGAACCTCCAAACCATAATCTCTTGGCTAGACAGCTAAACAATGAGCTTAAACTCACTATAAAACTCCATAAAGCTGAGGGAAGCTACAGGTGACAAATCTCTGTCGGCTCAGCACTATGAGCAACCCCCTTTTCGCATCATGATCGAAATATCAGTCTTTTTAAAGGGTTAAAATGGTATTCCTATCTGCCTTTTCAATTTAATAAGTTATTTAACCAGGAATATGCAAATAAATAAGCATTACTGTATCTGTACCAAAATTAGCTTAAAGGCCATTTTCATCTGTAGTCTCTGGACAGATGTTATGTCACACAAAAAAATGAGACAAGGTTACAAAATGTTTTAGATCATAATAAACATAGGACAAATCAAGAAGACTGACAGTACTAGAAGTAATGCAAAACTATTAAACTACAGTTACAATCAATTATAAAACAGAACTGAATCTCTTAAATGAAGAGTGAGAAAATTTTGTTTCCAGCAACATCACCTGTGGTATACAAATCATCATTATGGTAGGGAGCCACATTACTGAGAAAGTAAGAAAGACAAGGCACAATTATGTACAAAGAGAGGCCAAGAAAGAGCTTTTCATATCACCATGTGATTTACATGTAAATAAAGGAGGATTTCTGAAGTATGACAAAATTGTACTCTTCATGTAGTTGACCTGATGTACTGCGATTAACCCTGATGAAGGCACTGAGCCAAACATGTTGGTTTCCACAGCGAAGTCGGCATCTGAAATACCAGCCAACACAGGGAATTTCTACTGTAATACGGAGTGAAAGTGAATTGTATCCTTGGCAGTTGTGCCATACATTAATTTCAAGCACTGGTGTGCACAAAAAAAAACAGCCAGCAGTGTTCATAAATTCACAGACTGCAAATTCACACAGTGTTAGAAACTCAATGTTTGACCTGTGATCCTCTATCACTGAACTAAATATTTCTATTATGAGAGCCAAGGCACTCTCATAACCAAGACATCACAAGCCTCCACTTGACTGAGAAATGAAAATGCTAGCGAACTCTTTGGACTCCGCTAATACTTGCTACTTGATTACATACCGATAGTTGGTGCCTGAGGTCTCCTTACGAATGCCCTTGATCATCTCCTGGTGTGTTATCCTGAACTCTTTGCCAGGATACAGCAGTGTTGCCATGACAGCAGCCTTGGAGTGTGTGTGTATAACTGCCTGTGCCCCTATATTTTAACAAAGCAAAAGCAGGTTTTGATTTTTGAATGTTGTTTACTGCTGTTATCTTTCTTACACGGTTAAGTGCAAGAAGGCAAGAGAAAGCGCAAGAGACCCCACACTTGATGATGATGATGATGATGATGATGATGATGATGATGATGATGATGATGATAAGTGTGCTATGATTTGAAATTTGTAGGTACAATTTAAATTGCGTTGGTTGTGATTTCTAGTTTGAAAGGTTTCATTATATATGAAGAATGCAAAATAAAAATACTTTAACGCGTTATCCTAGGATTGAAGGGATGAGTACTTTATATAGCAATCATCAATTAGGGGTGAAGTATTTCCTTATAATGTTCATTTTACATTATAGTGCCTTCAGTAAAGGTGATTATTATTATATACAACAGTACCATGTGAGTGTAACCTTGTCTGCTTCTTTGTAAAACTGCAATTTTCCAGAAGTGTATGAAAAAGCAATATGCTAATATTTCACATGGAAGGCTTTTATTCTGTAGAAAATAATCTTACACTTGTCTCAACATACAACATATCCAAAGAAAAATATGTTTATAGACTAAAATGTAGCTGTAAACAGAAGAAAAATGTTTGGAGTGTATAATGTATTTTACAAATGAGCTTGTATGGCTATTCATTACATAATTCCTAATGACAATACGATGTTCCACCAAACGCAAACCTAATTACAACATTCAGGAACATGAACTGAATTTTTCCAGTTCCATTCAAAATTTACATTGAAATAAAAAGTCATTTTCTTTCTTTGCACTCTAGTATATCATGTTGTTCTACAATTGACTGGCTGCAAATGGTGGGTATTAGAGTGACTCACCTCTCATGGTATACGCGTTCATAAAAAGTGGTGTACACTGGCTTTTCTTTAACTTCTTCCATGCAGGTGGGCAGCTGATGTTCTTCTCCTCCATGTCGCACACAAACAGGTCTTCTGGCTAAACATTACAAACAGTGTCATTAAAAACTGAACACACCAATACTTATTATAACTGAGTCATCACCTCTGTAGAACAGAAGTTTCCCACTGTGGTTAGAACCTGCTCACCTGCATTCTCTCTTTCTGGACACCTGATGGTGTGATGTAGATCTTCTCTCTGTGATTTATTCAACACACAGCATGGCGTGTATTAAAATCAAGGAGAAGGACAATAAAGTTAGAGGAGCCTGTTATGACATAATGGAGCACCATGGTCTTCTGCAGCAGAGGAATAACTGGGCTGCACCAGGCTTATTTTGTCTTTGCCTCAAAGGCAACATATATACCAGGCTGAAGCTCTGTGGTTATTACAAAATATGAAAGAAATACTCACAAATGCTTTTCTATCCATCCATAATAAACCCCATCTCCAATTACTATAAACATTTCTTTAAACTTGTGCATCTTTTTTTTTTTACAGATATGCTTTGCAGCTGACCATTTATCAGAAACAGCTTATTGTGTATCAGGTTTCATTGTTCAATTTAATGTTCTTAAGGTGAACTGCAAACACACAAAGTAAATAATATTTCAGTGACCTTAACATTCATTAGAGCACTGTCATTTTTGGAAAATTTTACCTTCTGTGGCCACAGCCAAAAAGAAAAACTCCTGGAAGCAAATTAAGAAATGCAGAATTGCACTGTTAAACTGATAACCAAAATTGAACCCCTCAAAATCTACAGTGATCACATCTTTACCTAAATGTTGAAAGCCTTAACTTTTTTTCAATACATTGTAGAGGATAATGACACAGTACTCTTCTTTATCTAGCAACAAATATACCAGATAAAGGAGTAACCTATTGATTTTGAATGCAGGTTTTGGCAAGGCCGCCTCAGGCTCTGAGTCTTTGAGTCAACCCAAAGCAACTGGGGGTGAAAAAAAAAAAACTAACAGTCTTCCTAACTAAAAAAATCAGACCTACACTCACTAAATAAAAATAATTACAATTCTTGTGTCCAATGTCTGACAGTCCTGTCTATTCAGATTGCTTCTTATTTACATATAGTCATCCATTTTCTTTTGTCTAGAGTAAATTTAGTGCTTTTTATTAATAAAAACAGCCTTTAAGTTACTGAGCTGAACAATTAAATCACTGATTTACAGTATTAACACTTTATAGAAAGAGCCACAATGTGGATATAGTTGGTTAACCATGTTGTTGAGGACTGATACTCTGGACAGCTTAATTACAATGGATCTTAGAACTGTTTATTTTCTAACAGAATCTATGGTATAACAAGACGGTACTCAGAGAGCGAAAACCTCCACCAAAGTAGCTTAGTTTCCCCACAATGCCATTACACTTAAAAGAAATATTCCCATGATAGTTTGACTGTCATTATCTGATTTCGTGACCATGAAAACCTACCTCTAGCATTTGGAATCACATTGGTATCATTAGTAATTTGAAAGTTATTCAAGAAAAACAATATTTTATTAATGGGGGATTTCATTAAGATCTAGCTCAGTAACTTCTGAAGAAATGTCAAATTTGTTGGTACCCTACTGAGTCAGCAGAGTTTCAGACAGAATTTAATCTTTGTTGCAAGTCTGCAGCACCATTTGTTGTTTCACAGTAGTTTTCCCATGAACCCTAAATATTGAAACATGGATGAGCAGATCGGGACTATTACTTGGATCCTGATCATACTTTGGTTTGTGGTAGATCTTATCCAGATGTTATCATGCAATTTTGTTCTAAGCATTCTAGTCACTGTGCATGGAGTTAGAAGCAAAAATACTGAAATTGTCTCTATCTCCCAGTGGTAAAGAGGTTTTAAAAAATTCCTGAATCTGGATGATAATATGGATCACTACCAGAATCTAATGGATTGTTCCATGGGTCATACCCTACCTCTCCAAAAAAAAAAGTCATCAAAATCCATTCATAACTTTGAGTTGTGCTGTGAGCAAACCAAAAAGCACACAAACCCCAGTAAAAACATTACCTCCTTGACAGAAGCAATAACTTCAGATGAAAGGAATAGTTCCCTTGAATCATTTCAGAGTTGTAATGTTTTTTTCTATCTGAATGAAGTATCAGTATACATGGAGCAGCAGTCAGTATCTTATTTGGCTTCATCTGAGGTTTCATTACATTTCCCTGTTTGCTTAAATAAATGTCTGCCATTCCCGATTTCAAAGAGGGATTTGCTAATGGGTAGTGCTTTCTGTGTAGCTGCCACCCAAAAGAACACAGTTCAAAGAAGTTTGTAATAACCTGTCAAAACCTTCAGTTTGAATTCTGTTTCATTTTGGCAAAGCGGGCATTCTGCCTTCACCCTAGATGTGCACACATTGTCAAATCAAATATAACCGACCTCACATCAACCTCACTACACTTTTGTCAGCATACAATTGTTTAAAAAAAAAAAAAAAAAAAAAAAAACTACAGAGCACTACTCAACAAAATTTTGGCATGATTATTAAAGATATGCAAAGTTAAATAACAGTAGTTAGTGAACACATTTGCAATGAACACGCCCCTTTTAAGCAGCCTTTAAGTTTGGATGGTTGGTCACACTTAAGTGATCAAGCATAGAAAAATGTCCCCATTCTGATCATTCACAATATTTTGCAAGAAATTAATCTGTGCACGAACCCTCGCCTGAGGCTGATCCCTCCACCCGTCCCCGTCACCCATCCCAACTGGTAGAAGAGACGACATAACTCAGGAATAAGTACACGAGGATGCTCCTTCTCCTGTAAACATACACAGAATTGCCAACCAGGTTATCATTGCTCAAGTTCAGCACTCTTTACATCAAATCAGTGACTAAACTTTAAATCCACATTCTTAAAATGTATAGTAGCTTCAAAAAGCATTCAGATCCTTTCTTTTGCAGATTTAATTTTTAAATGGATAAAACTGCAAATTTTGCCCATCAGTCTACACATAACTTATGACACAGTGAGAGTTTTTAGAATTAAAAAAATAAAGACAGAAAAGTCTCCTTTACAAAATCATCCTGTCCCTCTGCTGTAGCATATTGTCATCAGGTGCCCCCATTTGCTTTATTTATACTTGAGATATGTCAGAACTTGACTGGAAGACTATAAAGGCACACACCTGTGTGTGTGTGTGTGTGTGTGTGTGTGTGTGTGTACCATGAAGTCAAGGCCCTCTCTGGAGACCTCCACAATTAAATTGTGGCAAGAAACAGATCAGACAAAGGGCATAAAAACATTAATAAAGCATTTGAGTGTTCCCAGGGGCACAGTGGCCTCAATAATTGTGAAATGGAAGAGGTCCTGAACCACGGGGACTCTTCCTGGAGATGGCTGTCTGGCCAAATTGAGTAAAAAGGAAAAGGGGTCTTGGTAAAAGAGGTGAACAAGAAGCCAACGATCAATCTGACAGAGCTTCAGAAGTTCTCTGTAGAAATGGGAGATCCTGCCCGAAGAACGGCCATCTCAGCAGCTCTCCTTCAATCAGGCCTTTATAGTAGAGTGGACAGACTGAAGACACTGAGTAAAAGGCAGATGGCAGCCTGCTTAGAGTTAGTCAATCAGCATTTAAAGGACTGTGAGAGCATGAGGAAAAAGATTCTTTGGTGTGATGAGACAAAAATTTAACACTTTGGGCAGGACTCCAAGCACTATATCTGGAGAACACCAGGCGCTGCTCATCACCAGGCTAATAGAGTCCCTATAGTGAAGCATGGTGGCAGCATCATGCTATGGGGGTGTTTCTCAGCAACAAGGACAGGGAGACTGGACAGAACTGAGTGAAGGATGAATGTAGCTAATACAGAGAGGTCCTTGGAAAAAAAATAACCTGCTCCAGAGTGCAGTAACCTGAGACTGTCAAACTGGCTTCTACAAAGTACTGAATTTGGGGCCCAAATACTTTTGTAAATAAAAGATTTCAGTTTTTGATTTTTAATACATTTGCTAAAATTTTGGAAAAAAACATTTGTGTCACAAAAATAGAAACACCCTAACACTTTTCAGTTTAACAAATGCATACACAATTACTTCTACTGAAAGTTTCTTACTTTCTCATATTTTAAGTGCAGGTGTATTTCTATAGCATCATATCATATAAAAGCAGTTCATTGTTTCTGTCATGTTATGCTTCCCTGTTTTTCTGTGGTCTCTTGACCTGCATCCTGGAGGCCACTGCTGGTTCCACACAAAGATGACATCTCCTGTGAAAAACCATTGGCTACGTTTAATATCAATTCACAATGCCAAGAGAAAATGTCTGTGAAATGGTGCTGTAACATAATTTTTGGTGCCATACAAGACAGGCTTAGTGCTCTGAAGTCACAATGAAGCAGCATCCTGTCAGCATCTTACTTTTGATTAATTTCCTGTTGGAATCAGATACTGTGGAGATAACACAGGGAAGAATAAGAGAGAAATGTTTCACAGTTCTCTGTAATTCCTCTTTGCTTCTCCTCCCACACATCAGTTAAAGAGAACTTGCCATTTAATTTGACTGAAGGGCACAAAGGCAGTGCTGCTCAAAAATTTCAGATGCTGCTATTGATTTCAATTTCTATTTATACCAACAATTATAAAATGGAAGACACAATGGACCCTTGAAAATGTGAGATTTTTTAGGGAGTAAAATTAACTAGATGCAATAAAATAGTGTATTTTGAATTCACTGTTAAATACATCATCAAATGTGGAAATTGGCAAACAAGGTAACAACACTGTTTGTCATTGTGTTGTGATTAGCATATCAGTTAAAACAGGTTAGGTCAAAAACTCAGAGAGCCTTTCACATTATAGGCCTAGCAATTTCCTGCAGGCTAGAACTTACTGGGATTCTAGAACGGACTACGTTTAGTTACATACTGTATGTAACTGCAGATTTAAGGAAAGTGTACAGACAGAGTGATTCTTCTGGCAGGCAAGTAGCCTACTGTGGAAAACAAAAGCTGCAGCCTTAAAATCAGTTTAAAAGAAAACAGATAAACTGTATGATAATGAAGAGCTATGAATAAGCATCATGGCCTGTTGAGGGTGTTTTACCAAGTCTTATTTTACACAACTAAACCCTGTTTCCTGCTATTACACACTGCTGTGGTAGCACTGGGATACTGTACATGTCAGCACACATATTTAGATGAGCAACTCAGCGTCATTGAAGGCCAAATATGCAAATTTTGACTCCAAAGGAACATTACTCGTAGAGACTCGTACAGGTCTCTAGTTCTTAAGCATTCTGTTTTTATCCCTATTTATCTCATTTCAACAAACATTCCTTTGTTGTCTGCACTGTTTACTGTCTGTTTGTACTGCTTATTCATACAGCTTATTCTGCATTGTTTGCTGCTGTTAATACTACTTATTTTGTTATATTACACATTACACACACACTTATGCTGGTTTACTGTTTGCACACTGAGAGCCAATGTACCAGAGTCAAATTCCTCATGTGTCCATCACACCTGGCCAATAAAGCTGATTCTGATTACATCTAGTCTTTTCATTAAATGGTCTTGGTCTTATACTTGTATAGCGCCTTTCTATGCTTTTACAGCACTCTCAAAGCGCTTTCACATTATTCGGCCATTCACCCATTCGCACTCCCAAGCACTCACACATTCACACACCGGTGACATCACCGGGAGTTCAGTGTCTTGCTCAAGGACACCTCAACATGTTGACTGGACAAGCCGGGAATCGAACCGCTAATCCTCCGGTTAGGAAACGACCCACTCTACCTCCTGAGCCACGATTAGATTAAGTCAGTGGCTCTGATTCAATTTGTGTGCTTATCAGTGAAATCATCTGCTACTCTTGGTGCGGGGTTGGAATGAAAGCATAATGTTACATACATATATAGTACTTTCATTCATTCATTCATTTCAACAAATTTGCTGCAAATTTGTCACCTTAAACTTTTACAGCTATGAGGTTATCATTTATTTATCTTACTCCTTTGCTAGTAAATGACCTGATATAGTGTATATGACATTCACACAGTGAAACCCACAGTTTCAGGTTTAACCAAAATTGTAAAATTACAAGTTTCAAGATTTTTAAAAATACTTACTGGCAAAGCACCTTAAAACGAAGAAACACACTGACAGCTTAGTTAAGAGGGTAACAGCAATGCATTTAATATAATAATTCTATTAAATAACTAGATAATGGATGTTTAAAGTCACTTGTATCTTCTGTATTTCACATCAAAAATATAAATACTGTCTACAGATCTAGATTATGGATTCAGGAATCAGTATGACATAGTATATTTAAAGTTAATTCTGTCATTGACTTGTGGTGGGAAAACTATATATTCCACCTCAGATATCCACAGATGTACAGATCCTGATGACAGGATTTAGGGAACACTGCCTTTCTAGGAATCCACATTTTACTTTTTGGTCATGATTTGCCAGATACAACTGGCATCTCTGGTGATCCATATGAAAATCCGCTCAGTTCAATAAAAAGATGCAACGTTATCATCAGCTTATTTCCTTAAGGTAGCAAACACAACAGCAATAAATGCAACTGTTTCAGATTTAACCCTTCCCCCTAAAAAAGCTATTACTACATGTTTCCAAATGTAAATATTACAAATACAAAAAAAAAACTAACAGTAGAGCTACAACAATTAAGCAATTGATTTTTAATTGACAATTATTTTGATAATTGACTAATCTTCTAGTTATTTTTCAAGCAAAAAATTATTAGCTTTGATGGTTCCAGGTTTTCAAGCGTGAGAATCTATAATTTTTCCTAGCCTTACAGTATAGTAAATTGAATATTACTGAGGTTTGGACTGTTGGTCGAAATAAAACGGCATTTTGTTGAATAAAGACCTATAAAACTGGTTCATTGTTGTCCCACTAATGTTAGTCTGAGAAGTCACTCGTTCCTCCAAAATAATGTTAAAACTGGCTTACCAAACGAGCAGTTGGCGTTCAATAATGTTGTCGCAATTACTGTAGCATAAAAGGTAGTTGTTTGCTGTTGTTTGTTTGAGTTAAAGTTCAGCACATCTAGCTAGTGCTAACGCTGCCTCAGCTGTAACGACATTTACACTAACTTTAAACACAGGTTTAGCCTGCAAACTTGAAACATCTACTCGAAAGACCCATTAAAAATACATACAGAGCATAAATACTTACCTTACTTCTTGTTTTGAAACCAGTCAGCGTGGTCAAAATATATGACACGCTAATCAGCAAAACGACTACTACTACCACGTCATCAGTACGCGACACGAAAACAAGACATGGGTGTATACAGCTATAGTGTTTTCATGATGGTGTATGATATATTGTTGGATGTAGTCAGCAAACCTGTCTTTCTCTGTTATTTCACCTGATTATATTAATTGTATTCCATGTGGGTTGTTTATTGGTTATGTTCATATGTACAAATCATACAGATATCATCTGTAGTGGGAGAGAAATGAGGTAATTTACTGAAGTGAAAAGGCAGGCCTATTATGAAATACCCCGTTACATATAAAATCTCTGCATTCAAAAATTTGCTCAAGCAGGCTATTGTACAGAAGTAGGCTACTAGAAACAAAAAAGTGGGCTACTTTTAAGTATTTGAAGTAATGTACATATTATGCAGAATGGTCATTTGATAATTAGTAGCCTAGGATATATAAGTGGTAGCCTACTTAAAGTCTTTATTTAGTCAAGGTCGAACTCCTTTGTATGCTTTTATATATAGAAGTTTTCTACTAGTTGAATCTATAACAATGCATTGTTTTGTAGAATGAAGATTTGTATGCAAAATCTTAATCAGAAAAGTAGGAACTTAAATATTTCAAAAACAATGTCATGGATAGTTTTATTTATCAGTTAATTTAACACAAAGTATAGTAAGCAGAAAAACAAAACTAATCAAATTCAAATATTACAGTGCAATAATAAATCAATTGTGACTAACTTTTGTCATAAAGGAAAAATAGCACTAATTTTCCAAGGCAAATTTTTTCAACTGGGATTGTTTGATCTTGCAAACCTTGATATAGTTCTGTGGATTTAAGCTCTGGCAGCATCTTCTGTCTTTGTATGTAATCTCAGACTGACTCTATGATATTGAGATCAGGACTGTGGAGACCTTGTGGGTACCATCTGTCGTTGGACTCCATGTTCATCTTGTCTCCAATAGTTTTTTATGACTTTGACTGAATGTTTGGGTTTGTTATCATGCTGCAGAATGAATTTGTGACAGACACTTCTTCCCTGGCATAAGAACCTAAACATCCACTCATACCCTCTAAATACCCCACTATTGCTCCTTCTGTATATTCATTTATCTTTACATACAGTCATGTGAAAAAATTAGGACACCCTTTGAAAGCATGTGTATTTTGTAACATGTTTTAATATATGGTTATTTAATCTCAATTTTAACAATACAGAGAGATTAAAGTAATACAACTAAACAAGTAAAACTGAAGAAAAGTCGTTTCAAGATCTTCTGTAAATGTAATTCTACAAAAATGCCTATTCCAACTGAGGAAAAAGTTAGCACACCCTCACATGTATGCCCTCTTAAAATGGCTCAAATCACACACAGGTATATCACACCAGGTGCACATAATTAGTAGATCGTTACTCAGCATTTTGAATGAGGCTTGCCCCATCTAAACCTCAAACATTTAGTTTGGTGTGCTCCTGACTGTTGAAGTGAGAGTGAGCACCATGGTGAGAGCAAAAGAGCTGTCAGAGGCCTTCAGAAAAAACATTGTAGCAGCCTATGAGTCTGGTAAAGGATTTAAAAAGATCTCAAAAGATTTTGAAATCAGCCATTCCACTGTCCGGAAGATAGTCTACAAGTGGAGGGCTTTCAAAACAACTGCCAACATGCCCAGGTCTGGTCGCCCCAGCAAGTTCACACCAAGAGCAGACCGCAAGATGCTAAAAGAGGTCTCCAAAAACCCTAAAATGTCATCTCGAGACCTACAGCAGGCTCTGGCTACTGTTGATGTAGAAGTGCATGCCTCTACAATCAGAAAGAGACTGCACAAGTTTAACTTGCATGGGAGGCGTGCAAGGAGGAAACCTTTGCTCTCTAAGAGAAACATCAAGGCCAGACTGACATTTGCCAGAGAGAATGTTGACAAAGACCAGGACTTCTGGAATAATGTTCGTTGGACAGATGAGTCCAAAATTGAATTATTTGGACACCAGAGCAGAGGACATGTTTGGCATAAACCAAACACAGCATTCCAGGAAAAGAACCTCATACCAACTGTGAAGCATGGAGGTGGAAGTGTCATGGTTTGGGGCTGCTTTGCTGCAGCAGGACCTGGTCAGCTCACCATCATAGAATCCACCATGAATTCTACTGTGTATCAGAAGGTGCTTGAAGAACATGTGAGACCATCGGTTAGAAAATTAAAGCTGAAGCGGAACTGGACCATGCAACATGACAATGACCCAAAACATACTAGTAAATCAACCAAAGACTGGCTGAAAAAGAAGAAATGGAGAGTCCTGGAATGGCCGAGTCAAAGTCCAGACCTGAATCCCATTGAGATGCTGTGGGGTGACTTGAAAAGGGCTGTACATGCAAGAAACCCCTCAAACATCTCACAGCTGAAACAATTCTGCATTGAGGAGTGGGATAAAATTCCCTCAGACCGATGTCAGAGACTATTAGATGGCTACAAGAACCGTCTCACTGCAGTTATTTCAGCCAAAGGAGGTAACACTAGCTATTAGGGGCTAGGGTGTGCTAACTTTTTCCTCAGTTGGAATAGGCATTTTTGTAGAATTACATTTACAGAAGATCTTGAAAAGACTTTTCTTCAGTTTTACTTGTTTAGTTGTATTACTTTAATCTCTCTGTATTGTTAAAATTGAGATTAAATAACCATATATTAAAACATGTTACAAAATACACATGCTTTCAAAGGGTGTGCTAATTTTTTCACATGACTGTACATATGCTATATGCTACACTGTTTGCACTATCTGGCTAGATGCTAAACGTCATTTTGCGGTAATTTACTGTGTACAAAGATGATAAAGTTAAATCTAATCTAATATATTTTATTTTTACTCTTCCATAAAATACTCAGTATTCAACATTTATGCTTTATTCAATGATAACACCACTGTTCTGTTTGATGGCTTGCTGATTTGAGGCTTTACATATGATCTCCTGCCAACTGCTTACTTCAAATTCAGTTAAAGATCACAGATCTAACATCATCATCATCCTGCATCTCTTTCCACTGATACTGTCATATCAAACTGTCCCCTTTTCTAACATAGCTACATCAATGTTACAGCTACTCCTATGCATAGCATGGCTTTGTTTACAGCCGAGTAGACTTCAAGTCCAGCTGTGTTATGGAAAAGGGTAAATGCAAAGAAATCTATGAGTACTCTCTGGAAGCTCCTGATTTGGCTAGTCTTTACTCTGATGTCAGTGATGGTCTGTCTGTCATCAGAGTAAGGGTCAAGTGTGATCACATTCTCCAACTCCAAGTAGAGTTGCTGAAAATTAGTTGAAACAGACCCAAATTTTTAATAGTACTACTATATTTTTGATCACATTTATATGCTGCTATATTCAAGCATTTGACCATATTTTTTTTCTGAAATGTAGTTCAGCTTTAATTGTTATGGCTTTTTTCAAAAGCACTACTAGTCATTTTAAGCATGCCAATGTGACTCCAGTGGAGGTCAGTCAGTTGGTTGGTCAGTCTTTTCTCCTAGACTGAAACATATCAAAATGTTTCTCATTTTTTATAACTATTCAAGGCCCAAAAAGGATGAACACTTACAACTTTGATACCACACCTTTTCAGCTGATGCCAGCTTGATAAACAGGAAAAGATATTTTTGACTATTGAATTAGTGCCATTATGTGACAAGATAAAAGTACTGCCTTTTTAAAGTAAATCATGGTGTTATGGCAAGCCGTATTTCAATAATCAGTAGGGACTCAGAAATGCAGGACTCAGACTCAGGCTTGACAAGGTAAAGAATTTAATGAATCTAGAGATGAGTAGATAGATCTGGACACTTCAGCCGATTTCGGGCAACTGGGGACGCTGTGTTGGGTTGAAGGAGAGCTGCAGCTTGCTACATTAGAACAGAAGATGAGAGTGGGTAACTGGTACACAAAGACAGGGACTATATCCAGTTTTAAAACAGAAGACCTGAACATTGGTGTGTGCTGGCTCTTGGCAGGAGAGCGCTGCTGTGGCCTAGGAAGCAGTCCAGGGAGGCAGGAGCTGACGCAGGAGATCGACGGTCCAGTGTGCAGAACCAATGTAGTGGAAGTAGATGGACAGGCTGACAGATGATGGCAGAACAGGTGATGAGAGCTGGAGGCAGAGATCCAGTGCCGCGGGAAAAAGTCACAATAATGTGCAGATCTCCTATCTCTGACCGAGGAAACGGTTCACAGTCCACGCATCAAGTGGTGCTCAAAATCAGAGTGGCCGAAGCAGAAAAATCAGATATCTCAACAAAACAGTTCTAACACAAGGTAGCCCTTCAAAATCAGAAGGGCAGGAATCCAGAGAATCAGGTACAAAGGTTATCACAAACCACAGGCACACAGTTCATAACATAAAGTAACAACCAAAACAGCAAAGCAGTTAATCCACATAGTATAGTAGTATAGGCACCATTCCAATATGCAACATTACTGGCAGTATGATCTGTCGACAAGGACACACCAACGCTCTCCTTGAGGAAAGCCCCGATAATTGAGAGTAAGTGTGCCTTGCCTCGTGCCAGCTGACGGGATGCTGGGGATGGCCCGAGTAACGGACGTAACACATGGAGTGAAATTATTATTCTCAGATATTCTTAACAGAGATAATTAGCATGTGCACACATTGTAGATATGTACAAAATGCTACTGACAGTTTCTTTTTTCGTTCAACATGAACATGTTTGTGTTCTTTTGATAATTAAGTGAGACTATCCAGTAGGTTTATGACCCATGTTGCCACAAATTTGATGGATTACCCCAGTTTAAACAGGGCCATCTCAGATATGATGCTTCTTTAAACCTGTGAAACATAATTAACCCATGTTTGGAAAGAAATACTTTGTCTGATGCCTTGCCATGATGGGTTTTGTTACCAATCTTATAAACTGGTGTAC